GAGACTTACATTAAAATTAGAACAAAATATTTGACATTACGTAATTCAAATGAAATTCAAAATGCTATACCGAGGAGATATACTTCACCAACGGTTGATACTAACCATGCAGACAAATCTCCCAAACTAAATTTTCAACCGTTCCAAGAAAAAGAAACATTCCAAAATTTTCAAAAACGACTAAATGTATTTTTTCTTATGAACGGAATCACCAATACGAATATGAAAGTGTACACACTTCTATCTACATTAACTCCAGAATTACATGAAAAGCTCTGTGATTTATGCTCGCCAGAGGAACCTATAAATAAAGATTACGAAACTCTTACACAACTACTAGACGAATTTATAGACCCAAAACCTAGCACGTGGTCATTGCAACATAAATTTATTTCGAGATTACAAAGAGAAGAAGAAACAATACCGATGTATGCAGCTGAACTTAAGAAGCTTACAACTAATTGTGAATTCCAATGCCGAAACTGCTCTAAAACGATAGCAGAGAAATTTCTAATTTTACAACTAATAAGAGGATTAAAAGATAATGAAATAAGAATTAAACTGTTACAGAATAGACACACATATGAATTCAGTAAACTTGTACAAATTGCATCTACTTTGGAAATGAGTAAAATAGAAAGTTACACAATGAATACAGAAACAAGAAAGAACAGTACTATAACCATGAACAAAGCATCAACTTCACAACAGATACGAACATACAAAATTCCTACAAAAAAAAATTTGACCGTAAAAGAAAAGGATGTTGCTTCAGATGTGGTAAGGAAGATCATAAGGTAAACGAATGTGGTGCAATACATGACACATGTTTTAAATGTCAGAAAAAGGGACATTTAGGAAGAGTGTGTTTACAAAGAAAAACGACTACTAATCAAATAGACAACAACAGTAATGAATCAATCACCGATGGAGACATTTGTGACATTAACACGATCCATGAAGAACTTTCTGCAAAATACATGATTAGCCTATGTATAGAAAATAAAAAAGTACAAATGGAATTTGATACGGGCGCGACACTATCCTCAATGTCACTGAAACAATACAAAAACTTGAACATTAACAAGAAAATTTTCAAGACCGGTATAAAGATGAAAACATACACAGGAGAAGTAATTCAACCATATGGAGTAGCTTTGTCAAATGTACTTACAATACGCAAATATTTTATGGGAAACTTTATATCATAAACAAAGATGTTGACGCTATTTTTGGAAGAAGCTGGATGAAGGAAATAACAATTGATCTAGCAGATATAAGAATACTTAATTCAATAGACCCACATAATGAATTAGATAAATTACTTACAGAATATTCATCTACAGTTTTTAGCGGAAAATTAGGAAAAATTCCGAATTTCAAAGCCCATCTTAATCTCAAAGAAAATTACCAACCGATCTTTATTAAACCAAGAAGGATACCTTATGCCTTAAAGGAAAAGGTAGACAAAGAAATAGAACGCCTAGTATCAGAAGGAGTAATTACTAAGGTCGACCAATCAGACTGGGGGACACCAATTGTACCCATCGTCAAACCTAACGGAACTATTCGACTATGCGCAGACTATAAAATTACCTTAAATAAAGTCATTAAAGATGAAAATTACCCCATACCGATAATTGAAGATATCTTTTCTGAAATGAACGGAGGACAATTATTCTGTACGCTTGACATATGTCAAGCTTATCTTAATATGGTAATGGATGATGAAAGCGCCTTACTTCAAACATTAAGCACACACAAGGGTACATATAGAGTAAATAGATTGATGTTTGGAGTGAAGGTAGCACCAAGTTTATGGCAGAAATTCATGGATAGACTATTACAAGACACGCAGGGAGTTAAATGTTTCTTTGATGACATCATTATCCAAGGAACCAATGAAAAGGAACTATTAGAAAGATTGAAACTAGTATTAGAAAAATTGAAAGAAAACAACTTGAAAGTCACCAAAGAGAAATGTCAATTCTTCAAGAAAAGTATAAATTACTTAGGTCACACTATCGACAAATACGGCCTTCATAAAAATGAAAACAAAATCAAATCTATCTTAAAAGCAGAAGAACCGACCAATACAAACGAACTCCGAACATTTTTAGGCATGTCTAATTACTACAATAAATTCATACCTAACCTAGCCACACTTGCATATCCATTGAATGAACTCTTAAAAAAATCTTCGAAATTTAATTGGACCACAGAATGTAAAGAAAGTTTCAAGAAAATCAAAGAAGAAATTGTAAGCGACAGAGTTCTGATACACTTTGATCCAAAGAAACCAGTAATCTTGGCCACGGATGCATCACCTACAGGACTGGGAGCGGTACTATCACATCGACTGTCTGATGGCACAGAACGTCCAATCGCATTTGCGTCAAGATCGCTAAATGAAACTGAAAGAAAGTACAGTCAGATAGATAAGGAAGCAACAGCCATCTTCTGGGGCTTAAAAAAATTCTTTCATTATTGTTATGGTCGTAAATTTACGTTGATCACCGACCACAAACCCCTAACGGCTATATTTCATCCACACAAGACGCTTCCGGCTATGAGTACCATGAGGTTATTTCATTATGCCCATTTTTTATCAGGATTTAATTATGACATAGAATATCGAAAATCTACAGACAATTCAAACGCAGACTACTTATCAAGATTTCCGGTTGAACATTCAAAAAAACCATTACATGACCAGCACAGCCTTTTTCAATTAAGTCAAATTAATATCCTCGAAATTTATCCAGAGATGATAGAAAACGAAACAAAAAAAGACTGGGAACTAAAAAAGCTACTTTTAGCTTTAAAATCTGGACAGACAGTTAAAAGGTTTGGCTATAATGACAATGAATTAACTCTTCAGGGAGATTGCATATTGAAAGGAACCCGAGTATTCATACCGGAAAGTTTACGCTCCAGAATGCTCGAAGAACTACATACAGGTCACATAGATATATACTTTTTTACTAAGTACTATAGACAAAATAAGCAGCCTTGCATGATTGATGTCACATTATGTCATTCAAAAATAAATAAATGAAATGCTGTGAATACATATAATTTTTAATTAAATATAGAAATTTAACACATATAAAATGCGAAGAATCTATTCCCCAACCTATTTATGTCTTTGAAATCAATCTTCACTTCAATTTTATAAATATACTAGCTCGCCGCAGCGGGAAGCGACTTCATTTTATTCTATGTATACAAATATTTACAATGTTACTTATATTGAATCAGATTAACGATTCAGTTTTGTCATAATATTTTTTGCGTTATTTGTTTACGTTACTCTTGAAAGAACGTCGATATAATTATTAATCGATGACAAAGTTTCTTGTTTGGAATTCCGTAAAGTTTGTCGCGTGAATCGTACATTTAATTAAAATCTTAGCTTAAAGCGCCGGTGATCTCGCGGGTAGCGGAGGTGTCTTCTCGCATCCTTCAGAAGAACAACATTTAAATTACTCGCGGTAATCATCTCGAGTCTTGAAGCGTGGAATTTTCTTTATAATTTCTTTATACCGTTTGGGAGGGTATAATATTTCAAAGAGCAAATTTTTACTCGAATTTTTTAATCTTGTATAGCTAAGTATATAACTAATCACACTCTAGTAACAATAGATAAGTACCTATATATGAGTTCAGGCTTAAGTTGTCAATGAAATGCTACACCTATATAATGATTGTTATCAATTAAGCCTCTCCAAATTTGAGATAGTCATACACAGAGGCAATATAATAATGTTATCCGGGTATCGCTGGGGCTGCCTCGCTTCTGTAGCGCGTCTGGCAAGTCTGCTGCGGCCCATGCCGATGGATATGCCACCATCGTGCGCAAAAGAACAGTTTCATTAATAGACAAAGTGCGTGTCAGTACCAACATTATCTAGAGGACTATATCAGATAAATATGATTGTCCTATAAGAAGACATTTTATGAAATACTCTTGGGTCGAATTGTTAATTAAAATCAAGTTTATAAGTTCACAATAATTGTAAAAGGCTAATTTGAATATTTGTTATTAGATAAATAAATTATTATAATTATTAAAATACTTCGTAATTATGTTAAGATATAGAAGTCGAGGCAGATAAAAATAAATAGATCGCGTGTTATTAAAAATCAGGTCAGAATTCATAGTAAAATCATCTAAAAATAAAAAATTACTAATGTCCAGGCAATGAAAGACGTACGCCTGGATCATGTCTTGTCGTAATGATTCTCAATCGACCTACGCCATAAGGGAGGGCGTGAAGATTTACAGAATAAAATAAATCAACATACTGTTGACAACGTTTGGAAGACAAGATCACATAGAAAAACGGACCATTGTTGAGACTTAATTTATATAATTTATAGTTCACAAACAAAATATTCGTACCATTTCTAAAACGGGACTCCGAATAAGGTACGGTCCTGTTTAAAACGGGACGTCCCTCACGTAGACCCATTGCTGATTGGTGGTGGAAGTGTTTATAACTAGATAATGCTACAGAGCATAGTCTGAACTCCGTTCCCGTGTGGCAGCGGCAGTGTGACCATATTCAGTATTTTAATACTTTTTCGGTATATTTTATCGACTTTTCCAAGCATCAGTATTTTTGTAGGTATATTGGCGGAAGTCAGTATTTTTTGGTATATTTTGGATAAAAAGTTATGGCAACACCATAGCGAACGTCTCCGCGAATTTCTGCCAGGGAATTTCCCGGACTTAGTCTATTATTTCATTCGGGAGCAAAGATCAGTAAGTTATAGATAGGACATGGCAAGCGTCCGCCGAAGTAAAATTATTAATAGTATCGAATCATCTAATACGGTTTAAATAAAATGAGTTTCTGTTCTGCACTTAACTTAATCTTTGAAGTTATTCTTTCGATAAATCGGGAATTTCTCCTTTGTAGTACGTTTTTGTCATCATATAAATAGAGCGCTTTCCTTTTGTTTTTATTTTACTTGACGCATCCGTCCGGAACGAAATGTCTAGTTTTCAGCAAAGTTATTTGGCTAAGTGGGAACAAATTCCGGAGTTTTCTTCGTGGCTTTCACGTTATAAAGATGACGAGTACGCCGCCTTTTGCAAAGCATGCAGTGCGAAACTCCAAAGTAGATTAGCATCTATAAAACAACATGCAAATAGTGAAAAGCATAAATCGAACTTTAAAAAATATAAAGGACAGTTAAAGGTAAGCATACATTGATATATATAGTATTACTGTAGCTAAAGTCAAGAAGTTCTGTTGTTGTTGTTCTGGAGATGTTTTTATTAGTGGGTGGTCTATGCTAACAATTTTTTTATTTGTTTCCAGGTTGATAAATTTTTTAGAAAGGTACCCCTGAAAGACGAAGTCAAGAAAGCTGAACTCCGTTTTTGCAGTTTTTTTGCAGAACACAACATCCCTTTTAGAGCTATGGACCATCTTAGTGAAATTCTAGTAAAGTATTTTCCCGACTCCGAAATTGCGAAAGAATTTTCCTGCAAGAGGACCAAAGCAGCCGCTATAACTTATAACGTTTTAGGACCCGAATTTGAAAAAGATATGATTGTAGACATACTTCGTACTGCATCTCCGTCAGGTAAACCAGTTTATTCAATTGTAATTGACGAAAATACAGATGTTGCCACAGTCAAAGTATTGGCGATAGTAATCAAATGAGGTGAGGCAGAGTCCTGGTTGACCTCACTTTCTTTCTCTTTTATTCATTATGTACCTTATTGTTTATTTTGTATCTTTATTGTGTTTTATGTGTTCCTAATAATGTATTATCTTGTTTGTGTCTTTGTAAGGTCAATAAATGTTTCTTCTTCTTCTTCTTCAAATACTTCTCTGAAACCGAATGTACAGTAAAAACCAAATTCCTTGATTTAGTTGATTTAAGTGGTGAGACCGCAGATCATTTATTTAATGCTTTGTCATCAAAGTTATCCGAATTAGGTTTAGATATAAAAGATGTGTTGGGATTCGCTGCTGATACTACGAATGTGATGTTTGGTCAACATTCTGGCATTGTTGCAAAAATTAAAGAAGTGAACCCAAAGTGCTTTTTTATAAAATGTGTTTGTCACTCTGCAGCATTAAGTGTTAGCCATGCTTGCAAAATACTGCCTAGAAATTTAGAACAGATGATAAAAGAAGTATATGGATATTTTTCTCAAAGCAGCAAGCGTCAAAGAGAATTTGCTGAGTTCCAAAATTTCACTGACACTGAAAACCATAGACTATTACGTCATTATGATATAAGGTGGCTATCGCTTCATGCTTGTGTTAGTAGAATAATTGAGCAATGGAGGGCACTGCAGTTGTTCTTTCAAGACCAATACTTGAGTGATCGCATTCTATCATCAGAAATGATATATAATTTTTTTACCAGTGATATAAACAAATTGTGCTTCTACTTTTTAGATTACATTTTGCCGATTGTTAACAAATTTAACATAATTTTTCAAGGCGACTATCCGTGCATTGAAAAATTATACGATGATGCATCTAGTATGTACTTGTCGATTTTGGGTTGCTTCATGAAAACTAATTATATCAAAAGCACGGACAACGTATTTACGTTAGACCCAAAGTCTACTATAAATTATTTGCCATTAAATGATATGTACTTAGGGATCCCAGTGGGTCAAGAATTAATCAAACACAGGGAAAACATAAACATGAAAGAACAAATTGCTGATTTTTTCAGAAGGTGCCAATCTTTTTTAATTGAGTTGAGCAAACAATTAAAATCACGTTTGCCTATTGATAATAACATTTTCCGAGAACTGAAATTTCTCGACCCACACACTGCCGTGAATAAAGAATTTCGCAGTTTAAGAATTATAATAGAAACTTTCCTATACGAAGTACAGCCAGAACAAATGCAGTTAATTGATGAAGAATAAAGAACCCTTAAACTTGATCGCGAAGTAAGTGATTTGTTACAATCTTCGAGTTCTGGCTCACCCTTTCTTGTGAACAATTTTGGGTGGAAGTTGGGAAAATTTCTAATAGTGATGGCACGTTCAAGTACAAAAATTTAACTGCATTCAGTAAATCTCTGTTATGTATACCGGTATCGAATGCTGCATGCGAGCGCATATTTTCACAGATAAATTTAATAAAAACGGAACAAAGAAACAGATTTATAAACAAAAATGTATCAGCAATTTTACATACAAAGCAAGGTGTAAAAGATCAAGGAGGTTGTGTTAATTTTAATCCCTCAAATAGAATGTTAAAATACAATTCTAACATTTATTGTGATGATTGATTAAACTTTAAAATTTTAAAATCAGTATTTTTATTGGTATATTTTCCCTGTTCAAGTTGGTATATTTCAGTATTTTTTTGAGGTGCTTCGGTATTTTCGTAAAAAATAATCTGGTCACACTGGGCAGCGGCCCTGCTTCTAGTTCTTGGAATACTTCTTCATCGTGATTTCAGAGAAAATAAGATTACATACATTGTCATAAATAAATTTTGTAATTCATATGATTTGATTTAGGTAATTTCATTACTGAAATTTGATTTCTCTTTTCTTCATTATTATACATTAAAAACCATTTATGTAAGTCATTATTTACTTAAATCTTAATATCACGTAGATAAAAGCACATTTTCACAGAAATGATACTTATTGCTCACAATGATATTTCCTGTAACGAAATGGGAAGTAATAAAGTTATTACGGAATTATTTGTAAAAAACAGCGATCTCGAATAACTACGTAACTAAAATAAAACCAGTTAATTACATTTTATTTATTGCTCGGATGTACTTACTTTAAAACATCAATTTGTAAGTACTTCAGTAAGATACCAGCCCCGCGACTCTGTAAAAATCGAAACCCGAACTCGAATTCACTCAGATGTCTGAATTTACTTCAAAAAGCAGCAACAGCTCAATCTTGAATTGGTAATAACATAACATATCGTGGCATAAGTGAAATGAACATAATAATAAAATATCTGAGACACACATATTCAATCAATATTGTTTTGTATTTTTACACAAGAAAATGGAATCTATTGATCTAGATTTTTACAGAATTGCAGGGTTGTACAGTTAAAACTTACATATTTTAGTCAGGAGTACAGTGTCAACCACCGAGTTGGTGGTTGGTTGGCTCGGTACGAGATTTGCGGCACTGGCGGTATACAAGAGCTCTTGCTGATATTGACTGGGAGTGGAACTTGCCAGATATAGCAGTTTCACAGTTATAGCAGAGGACTTCCGCAAGATAACGCCTGATTCTATTGAATGCCTACAGGTTATTTATTATCAATGCCAACAACTACACCGCGTCTGTTCCCAGGTGCCTCACCCACCGATATATTAATAAAAGCAACGAGTCTGTTAAAAATAATATACACGCACGTTAAACATCGCGTAATAATATCGGGGAGTATACACACACACACACACACACACACACACAAACACACACCAATTTTGTAACAAATTTAATAAATGCAAAATTGATCGAATATAATAAATATAAAACAATTAATTTGATACAGTAAAATGTGTTATTGGGTTTGTAAATATTAATTATGAATTAATTATACTCAAATAAAGATTTAGTTACATTTTATATGATATTATCATATTAGGATGTAATCTCTAATTATTATATATAAATTTTTATTTAATTTAGTTATAATGGTTTAGTCACATTATTTTGTTAATATTGTACATATTGGTTTGTGTTATCAGTGCGGGCGCGCTCGTGCTGGTTTAGTTACACCCGCATGCCGCGTCATCCATCATGATTCCAACGTGATAGCACCCCCGCACCACCCCGCACCCCCGCCCGCCCCGACACACGGACCAAACCAATCATATTAATGGTCACAACACAATTAATTATATTAATATATTAAGCATACAAATGTCATTGTTATATTGGAATTAAGATATCACAAATCTATTGATCGTAATTAAATCAATGAAATATACTGTGACCGCTTGAATTTATACACATCTCTGTTACACTGGCGGAATGCCATATTGCTTTATAATATAAACCGCTAATTATACATTGATTGTGTAATAAAAGTGAATAAATACATTATGTATACTTCTTCTCTATTTAAAACTTGAATTACACAAGTTACACAATCCAGGCCCACGGAAGAGGCCGCCAAGACGACAAGCCAAACATAGCAAGGGCCACTACCTAACGTTTGTTAAAGCACCTCATCGTTTTAATTTACCCACAAAACTTGGGTTCAAATTGTACGAAATTCTCAGGATATAAAATCAAAATTATATATATGAAGTTTCAATTTGTAATCTTATACTTCAGATTTTTAGATATCAATAAAATCACTCAATCAGCCTCTGAAGAGAAGAATCACGATGCTGATAGATAACGAAATATTGCAATAAGCAAAACATATTGCATTTAGTTAGACCTGTGATGTATAATAGATAAGTATCAGCGGGTACTTATTATTAGCAATTTTATAAGTAGGTAGAACTATTTTTCAGGCATAAACGTTGTTCCTTTTGTCTACCTTTTTTTTTGTCTCTAAATATATGTTCGAGAGTAAAGACGCGTGTTTTATTAATTATATAGTCACAGACATAACAGTATATTGTGTGGGATTTATTTACTGTTTATATGTACGGGGAACCCTTAAGATCAGAACAGACTTTCCTAAACCTAATAGATAAATAAAATATAGTCGAAAGTGAAAACATTTCTCATAAATTTCATACCAAACGAACAAAGAATAATTCAAATACTTACCTGCTTACTGAATAACTACGAATTATTTACCTTTTTCCTTGTTCTGTGATTTTACATACCATCGATTCAGGCCGTATTTTAGCTTTGTATAACGTTTTAATTAAGATGGAAATACGTAATTAGCTAATTTACATCGTTTAAAATCTAATATAGCGGACGACCGAAAATGACATCATGATTTGACATAGCAATCGTGAGATTGAACAAAACAAATTATTATTATTTAGTGCACTGTTATTATTGGTGCTAAATAGTTTATTAACAAAAATACAGATACAAAAAGGTTTCATTATAAATCCAACGCGGTGGACGCTCACCCGATATTGAATAAAGATACAAAGTCCAATTGAACTCCATCTTATATTCACGCGTACCTACTTAATACGTCGCGAAACGTGTTCTTTTTTTAAATTTGTCTGAGAAAATTTCTCTAATTCAATTTTATTCAATTTCTTGTCATAGGTTTTTGATAGAGAAAATTGATAAATCTGTGTGTTTGTGTGTGTGGACTGTGAAATTGAGGCATGTAGTTGAGATGTAATCATTAGTAATAAATTAATCAAAAATACTTTTTCAATTTCTATTCCAGGCAATGCGCCATCTGCTGTCTGTGAGATTATAAGATTATCTCACTTTACTGGCCGCTTGATTCAGACTCGTTTTTTATTTGTCTGCTGCTGCATGCAGTCTTTATCTTTCAACAACTTTTTGTAACTTTAAATTTTACACCTATATAAAGGAATCGTTATTTAGAAAATTATGATACTAGATAAAAGTAACTTCAATCAAATGTAAAAACGAGTTTTCAATACTTCATTACCCACATGCGAAGTTCAATGTTGATTAGTCTGATGTCCGACATCTCCCAGTTGGAGTGGAATCAAACGAAATTGATATGTCTCTACAATGCCGGAACCAAACGAAATGATTGATGAAAATATTTGGCGAATGAGAAAAATGAAAACGATTTGCAAAAGGAAATGATTTTCATGTTCAAATTACGATGCTAACAACGAATGTTATCGGTAAATTGTATACGTTATATATCGGGTTGGCACAAAAGTAATGAGACACTTGGTTTAAGTTTTTACTTTTTTATTATTATTACAATAAAAAAAGTGTAGTCAATGATGTAATTACCATTAGTGTCTAAGACTTTTTGCCAACGATCCGGCAAAGTTTGGATGCCTTTTGCCCAGAACTCTGATGGCTGTGCCTCGAAAAAGTTGTTCAACTCCGCCTCTACGTCAGAGAAATCATTAAATTGTTTACCCCGCAAATGCTGTTTCAGGGCTCTAAACAAATGATAGTCTGATGGGGCGAGGTCTGGGGAATAAGGTGGGTGGGGTATCGTCTCCCAGCCCAAGTTCTCCAACTGCCGGCGAACCACAGATGCGACGTGAGGTCGAGCGTTATCGTGCAGTAAAACTACATTGACTCGTCTTCGTCGTTTTTTCTTGATAGCGGCAGATAATTTGGTAAGCTGGGTTGAATATTTGTCAGCGTTTATAGTTTCGATACGAGTATAATACCTGTCCTAAGATGGAATAACATGCTATAATCATCGGTGCGGATGGTTAACAATTGTAGATGCATCTGAATTCTACGGGTTACCGTGTCTTCGGAAACATGGCAAGAGAACTCAAGATAGCAAAATTTTGGTTGTGACCCATCTCTGATGAGATTGCTTCAGCTCCACAATAGCAGACCGAACAATGACGTTAGCGAGCGAAATTGTTCTTGATTGGAACATGTCGTGATGCGTAGCTCAATTGAGTCAATTTTCTCCCATTGCTAAACTTTTCCACTAAAACTACATTCCATAATAGTAATTCCAAAGTAATTCCATTAGCGACGGTATAAAACAAATGAAGACTATTTAGAAGTAACATCAAATCACCGCAGCAGCGCGAGTGAATCAGCTCACTTTTACGTTCACTAGTTACGGTCTGTTTTTATTACACGAACGCCATCCGACCACGATTAAACGTAATGTAAAGTGAAGAGGAGGCTTAAAGACTTTCACCTCTTACAATAAAGAAACAAACGACTTCATATAAAATTGTAAATCAACCGTGTGATGATACTTAAGCATCTCATGGAAGCAAATAAACTTGATCCTTGAGTTTTTCTTTCGACCATCTATATTATTTTACAATGCTATTATATGATGTTTCACTGCGCCTATATGCTACCATGTTTAAATAATTTGAAAATAATTCACGTTTTATTATATTACATGCCCTTTCCTTCAACTGTTGCACGCGTTCACTTTCTCTTGAGTTCGAGTTACTGCGCGTAATGAAGTTGAGTTTATAAATCATCAGTATACACGGCCACGTTCTTAGCTCTCACAGGTATCGGTTCCTGAGACCAGGCGATATCCAGCAGGTGGATGTTGAAAGGGTCGTTGTATCCAATGTGTCGTGTTCAGATTCATGAATATGCAGCGACGGAGTTATCAGTCTGTTTATGAGACCTTAAACGTGTACCGCGGGGGTTATCTAGCAGCAGGTGGTGTCACACGTTATATAATAACTTACAGTGTACATAAAGCAATGGAACGATGAAAGTTCTGTTTGCAAACGAATAAAAATATATATTTTAATTGGTACAATAGACAGCATCATTTTCTTTTGACAATACTCATATTGCAAAAAAATTATTATCGATTGTCCGAATGTTTGTATCGTAGTAGTAATTTTGCATCCACTCTACATATCATCAAGTTAATCCTAGTAAATAAGCATACTTATTTAAAAGTTAACGCTATGAAAATGCCTGATAATAATTAATTTAATGCACTTCAATCATTGATCCAATATAATATGAAAAATAAATTGTCTACGCTGAAAGGTAACTGGCGGAGTTATGAAACCTATAACACGCAGTTACAATCTGCGTTCTTGTTATCTGATGCCTGATTTAAAAGTTGAGACTGTACTGTATTATCCTGTTTATTAAGAAGGAGTATCGATTTCATTGTTTTTTATTTTAAATAATGGAGTTCTACAAATATAATATAACAGTGACAAAATAACAATGAATAGAATGAGATTAAATAAGGAAATTGCTAATTTGATGATCAAATTGAACATTGCTGATAACACGAACTGTAGTAGCGAGAAAAAGTAACTAGTGCTTGAAAAATTCGTCGGTCCTGTTTGGTCCTGGGTGGGTCGGTGGTTGGGCGGTCGGCCGGATTGCGAAAGTGCCAGGGACAAAGTGAATATTTTTCAGTATAGTATTGTGAATGCAAAAATTAAACAAATAACAACTAAAATAGTCAAAATAAGGGTTAATAAATTGATTTTTAAATCAGGGAATTTTTTATTTAGTCTCTGATTAAAAAAATTCCGTTGCTGTCGGAATTTTTTATGGCAGAATATATCATTCTTTTAGTAGTTATGTGTCCACGTGATTCAGAAATATTTAATTGACTTTCTTGTTGTTTTTACAGAAAAGTTGCGTTTTTATAATAGTTTTATATATATTAGACAGTTTAGATAGATTCAATGAAGCGTCGTCGGTTGCATTTCCTATTTTTTTTTTTCTAAATATGATTATATTATTCATCATTGTTCATGCGTTTTAATGTTTTTAGAAAATATTGCTATTAAAAGTGAGGATTTTGAAAAATTTGAGGATAATCAATTCTTGTAAGCTCGTGATTTAACGTACAGTATAACAAAAAAAACCTTCATCTTTTCATGAATCAAAACCCTTTTGTCATACTACATTATCAGATCTCAGGCCCTTCTTCAGAACTTTTTCTAAAACACTGACCACACAAATGTTTGTATACCGCTCAGGATCGACCGTTCTTTGTTCTTCTAGCTGTTGTTTTCCAACGTAAACAAGGCTCACGGTAAAAAAAACGCAAACACTTTTTGTCTCCCTTTTGGTTCGTCGCAACTTAGAAACTTCGAAGAACTGGAACTTAATTGGACTATTATTTCCTTCAGCGCGTAATAATAAACCCAATTAAGGTGTCACATACAGTGTAATGACACTCACGCTTCAACTTCGGCATTATTTCTGTACACCGATTGTCATCAATCCACATCTGATCTAATGGAATTAAAGAAACTAT